TGGGGATTAGGATTTAAACATATTAATTTTGTAGGGACTAAAACACTCAGTCCATTGCATAGGTGAAAAGACTGAAATCCAGGAAGGTTAAATGCTTGACTCTTTCAGGTCCCTTCCCACTGTGGGAGTTTTTCTAACTTCTTAATAAATCCTACTTTCTAAAAAAAAAAAAAAATGTTTGACTCTAATGACAGTCATAAAATTGGTATGAGAAAAGACTAGCCCTACCACTGTGCTTAGTGCTAGTGATTGACAAAATATTTAGTGCTTTGCAGCCCATTAGATTTTAATTCCTGCTCAAGTCAGAATCTGTGTAATGTAAAATAATGCCCTGAAAACCTGCTTTTTAAATTTAAGAATTGAGAGGTTTGAGTGAAAAGATCAGATTATGAAACCAGTGGTCTTTCTTTCAACTGTTGGCTTTGCTACTCAAAGCTTCTGTGTCCCATTTACCTCTATCATTATTATTTTTTTTTTGAGTTGGAGTCTCACTCTGTCACCCAGGCTGGAGGGCAGTGGCATGCTCCCGGCCACTGCAGCCTTGACCTGCTGGGCTCCGGCAGTCCTTCCACCTCAGCCTTCCAAGTAGCCAGAACTACAGGTGTGTTACCACACCCGGCTAGTTTTTGATTTATTGTAGACCCAAGGTCTCGCCAAGTTGCCCGGGTGGGTCTCAAACCCGCAGGCTCAGGTAATCCACTCGCCTCAGCCTCCCAAAGTGCTGGGATTACAGGCTGAGCCACCGAGCTGGGCCCATTTACCTCTATTTTTAAGAGATGAAGTGCACCCGACTCCCAGGTTAGATGGGAGGTGTTCAAGGAATGATGTTCTACTCTTTTCTTTTCTCCTTCTCTTTCCACCAACTCTTATCAATGTCTCTCCTTGAATCACAGTGATGTTAAATGTCTCAGAATATTTTCATAATGGGAAAAGAGTGGAAAATGAATGTCTACATAGTTTATGTCTTCAGCTGATTTCTACCAGTTAAAAAAATACATTAAATTCACTCTTGGCTTTTCTTCAAAAGCAATAAAAAAATACAGGTAATGAACACTTCACTTTGAAAGACATAAATTCCTATAAAGCCATTTAATATCATTGCACAGCATTGCTTTTATCCCAAACTTTCTTCACAGCTAGAGTTCAAACAACTCAATAAAATCATTCTGAATTTCAACAGAATTTAAGGAAAGGAAACTATTAGGAATAGAATTATGAATAGAATTATGGAAACAGGCTTTTCTTTTGCTTACAAAGAAAATATTTACTATTCAGCTAGACTTATAGTTTAAAAATTGGGACTTTTAAAAAACTTCTTTCCCTTGGTGGTATTTTAACTATTAAGTAGTTTATAAACTCTTTTTAACTCTATCTTTCACTGAAAAAAAGGATATTTCATGAATTGAGCATGAATGTTTAATATAAACTGAAGAGGCTTAGTGTGTTAGACTGTTGGGGGTAACTCCCTTTCTTGGTGCCTTGGCTGTTCTGGTTTGAGCACTGAAAGCCCCATGTACTGAGAACCTCCTTAATGCTGGGCTGACCAGAATGGTCATTCACCCTATTAGGACCGGTGAAAGTGAACTTTTAAAAATTTTTAAAAATCACTATTTTAAGCATATTAATTCTCTTTCATTGGTAGTATATTTTAGATAAAGAATATTTATAGAGTTTGCCAAGTGATTAATAGGATTGGTAGGATGCAATTTGAAATAACCTTCAGCTGAAAAAGAGCTTTGATACACGTGCATAAATGGATCTAGCCTGTGGAATCAAAAGTAGGAAAGGAAACTCCCAGGCTGAAAGAAGATAGGCATGAAGGAAACATGTGTAAGTCCACTAGTCAAGGCAGTATTCTCTATTCAGAGATGGACAACATTGCAAAAGTCTAGATAAAACAAGAAATTTAATGATGACAATTGTCTTTAGATTAAACATAATTTTGAAAAACACTCAAAACATCTTTTTTGCAGCTGAGGGAATCTTTCCCCATATAGAGTTCCTCATCTTCTTCTTTTTATAAAAATAGAGATGAGGTCTCACTATGTTACCCAGGCTCATCTCAAGTTCTTGGACTCAAGAGGTCCTCCTGTCTTGACATCCCAAAGTGCTGGAATTACAGTCATAAACCACCATACTCTGCATTTTTTTTCTTTTTTCTTTTTCTACCCCCCCACACACATAGTTCTGTTCTTTGTTCTCAATCCCACTAGGTGGATGTCCTAATTAAAAAAATGTATTTTATAATGTAGAAATGTCCTCAACAAAGATTTTAATCTGTAGGGTTTGCTTAAGCTTCAAGCTTAATATTACCTGCAGACAGACAGTTATGACAATAGCAAACCAAAAAGATCCAAGTTCAAAATGAACATGATTATACGTGACAATAGGATATAATTCTACTAAATTAACTAGCCAATGGCCGTTCCTTATTTATGAAAATGTTTTTTGCCTTAGTCTTTTTGGGCTTTTGTAACAAAATACCATAGACTAAGGGGCTTATAAAAAACAGACATGTATTTCTCAGTTTGGGAATCTGGAAGTCTAAGATCAATGCACCAACAGATTTAGTGTCTGATGAGGACCTGTTTCTTCGTTCATAGGCAGTGCCTTCTCACTGTGTCTTCACATAGTGAAATGAGTGAGGGAGCTCTTTTAGGTCTCTTTTCTAAGGACATTAATCCTGTTTATGAAGCTCCACCCTCATGACCTCATCACTCCTCAAAGTCCTCACTTCCTAACACCATCACCTTGAGGGTTAGGTTTCACCGTATGCATTCTGAGGGTCAGAAACATTCAGTCTATAAAAGTGCCTATGCAAATATAAACAAAGGCGCCCAATATAGTTAGAGAGTATATGAAATATATTAGGTGAATATTGTTGTAGATGCACATTCACTTAGAGAGGCACATACTGTGATGTCATTTTATGAACAACCACATCATTTTTATTTTTGTTTTTATTTTTGAGTTGGAGTCTCACTCTGTCGCCCAGACTGGAGTGCAGTGGCCGCTCCCGGCCACCGCAGCCTCGACTTGCTGGGTTCTGGCGATCCTTCCACTCAGCCTTCCAAGTAGCTGGAACTACAGGCACGCGCTACCACACCCGGCTAATTTTTTATTTATTGTAGAGATGAGGTCTTGCCAAGTTGCCCAGGCGGGTCTCGAACCCGCGGGCTCAGGCAATCCACTCACCTCAGCCTCCCAAGGTGCGGGATTACAGGCTGAGCCACCGAGCCGGGCTAACCACATCATTTTTAAGTAAAACAAGGACAATATTAGAAACTAGAAACTAGGTAACTTAAAATTTGTCTAACACAAGATTTATGAATTCATATTTCTATGATGATTAGTGTGTACTTAGAAAGGTAAACAGCGATCATCTGGTGCCATCCTGAGCTCTCTGGAAATGATATCGCCCTTCTATCTTTTAAGGTAATGCAACTAGACTTCCCTCTCCTGGAAATAACAGCAGTAAGATGGATCATCCTTCTAGCACAGAAATTGAAAATATGTTACAGAATCTACAAGTTGTAGTTAGCTAAACAAATGCTTCACACGAGTGCTAATTAAAGAATTTTACTGAATGGGAGAGGTTTCTGAGACTGTCCTATGCAGCTCTGCACTATTCAATAATTTATATCAATGATTTGTGTGAATGGACTATTAGAATATTTATCCAACATGGAGAGGATAGATTGTTCATTGGAAGAGAATAGACATTCAAAAAGACCTTGATAAATGGAACAAAAGATGAAAATTCACAAAATTAAATACAATGGGTAAAAAGCATCATCTCCTGGTTTAAGAAACATAATCAGCAGCACAAAGTCGCTAATATTCATAATCAGCAGCACAAGGCCGCTAATATGTGGCCAACTTGCAACTCCTGTGAAGAAGACTTTAAACCAGGTAAAGCAATAGTCAGTTGAACAATAGAATGTTTAGAAAGTTAAAGTTAATGCTTCTTTAGTGCATATTAATAGGAAGACATTTTTGAATCAAGGAGGAGGAGTTCCATTCAACTCTTTACACTAAGTCAGATCCAAGGTGGAATATTTTTTGTTCAGACCACTGCATTTTAAGAAATCAAGGCGAGAGTGATCAGGATGCTTAATACAAAAAAAAAGAGAAAAAGTGTTGCATTCATGCTTACTCAGGAATTGGTAACATTTCAACCAGAGCAGAAAATGGCATTAGAGTGCCATTAAATGTGCTCAAATGGCTATCTGTGAAAGAGAGAAATATTTTAGCTATTGTCTCAGAGGCCAGAGCTAGGATGTCGTCCAATACAAAAGCCACAAACTTACAAGAGCTGCCAGACCATGAAATGATCAGCCTCTTCAAGCCCTTTCTTCCCATGCTGGGATTGGTCAAAGGGTGGAAAGCTCCATCTGTCAGGGATGCTGCAGAAGGGATTACTTCGCGGAGAATTAGGGAATTTAAACAAAGTGACTCCTGTCATTCTTCCCAACCAGAAAATTCCTACAGCCAGTAAGCAAGCTCATCATCTAGGATACGTCAAAGAAGAAATTAAAAATAAGAGCATACCAATGCTTTCGGGGAGAAAGAAACCCAACAAAATAAGCACGCTCTTCCCTCTTTGCAAGACACATGCACAATGCTCTTCCCTGCTCTACCTATTAGACAGAGACTACCATCTCCTGATGAAATAAACTCAATAGGAAGATGATAATTAACAAATACTTTGGCAAAATAATTTAATTATGGGTCACTTAGATGTTTTGAAATAGCCGCAAAAGCAATTTGCATCTTACTAATTAGCCCCATTTATAACCCCTCTTAAAACCTTCCCTTGCTAAGCCTCACAGAAAATCATTATAATCAATAGAAATTACCAAGCAACCAGATTTAAGAAACAAGAACACAACAACACGTGTTGGGAGAACATGCAATACAGGCAGGTAGCTGCTATCACCACCCCAACTAGTGTGTTTTAGGTTAAAAGCTACCAGACAGTCAGTGGAATCAGTGTTTACCTTCAAGGCAACTTTAGCTTCTGTCCTGTTGTGGGGGAAGTGAACTGTGATGGAGATTTCAACTTCATTCATTTACCTCTATTCATGGCTTCTGAACCAGTGGGAGTTTAATAAGCATATTCCTTTGCTCATCTGTTGCATTTGTTTGGGAGTTTCAGGTTATCCTAGTAAATCAGCTTCCTCAGGGGCAACTTATCTCCCTTCAGTTCAATTTGCATCAAAGATGAATCTAGATGCCATCTGATGCTTAACTGGTTTCCTTTAGCAGCACTGTTACCAGACAGATAGCAGGGTCAGGCTGGTAACACGGTCCAAATACAGTCAGAGGGTCAGACGACCAGAAGTTTGGGAGATTCTATCCCCTTTCTTCTACTTGTATTCTGCTTGTATTCAGTTTGTGTCAGTTACCAGGTATTTCTCTCATTAAGGAGTTTATGCTATTAGTTTAAGGGAAAGCTCTGTTTTAAGGTCTACAAAAGTTGCACCTGTGCTGAGGTGCCCTTGTCTTCTGGAAATCTCCCAGGCCAGGTTTGCAAACCCCCGCCAGGTTGCATCATACTGCTAAGTGACACATAGAGTCAGCCCTGCCAGACTCTCACGTGACCTTATGGCAATCACTGATCTCATAGCTACGAGATGGCTCTTATTGTATGCTATTCCAGCCTAAGAGAATTCTCTTGGTGGGTCCCTTGAAGATTTTCTCCCTTGCAGCTCAACAACCACCACAAACAGAAAATGAGGTTATTAGGTTGAAATCATGCTACCAGCAGCATCGCATTTCACTCAAGCCCTGGTATCTTAGAAAACAGCAAAGGTTAAGAAATCCCTTGACAAAGATTCTTTGCTTGACCAAATGTTAGTCAGGTTCCTGAACCTTTTCTAAAGCTTATCTGTTTACTTCTTTGTGAAATCCAGATTTCACAAGAAGTTCTCATTCTTGCTATTTGATCACCCTTGATATCTGATTGGCTTCCTCATGCTCCACTGTCCCCAGGTGATGTCTGATCACTCTGTCCTGTTTTCAGCAAAATTCCTGTTAGGTTGGTTTAGCCAGAATCCCTCTTACCTCAGATATTTCCTCTTAGCAATTTTCTATCTATGGTCCTACCCTGCTCCTTGGCTATAAATCCCCATTTGCTCATGCTGTATTCAGAGCTGAACCCATCTCCCTCTCTACTGCAAGACCCTATAGATATCACGATGGTCCTGAATAAAGTCATCCTTACAGTGCTACTGTGCATTAATAAGTGCCACTTAATATGCTTTTCTTTAAAACACCCGTCATTCTTTGTGTTCTGGAAAATTGCTGACTAAAAAGAACCCCCTTCCCATATGACTGAGAAAAGACTCATGGATGTCCCTTGTCTGCTAGGACAAAGTCAGAGACAGACTCTCTACGTTGTCATTCTTTGTCTGACAAATGATTAGTTGAACCGCTTGTCCTTATAGGGAAATATTGGATCAGCGTCTTTTCTTCCCCCAGGTCCTGGAATGTGGGTCCACTCACAGCCTGAGTGAGCAGATGGCCTCTCCTGGGAGCAGGCAGACTCAGGGCAAATATTATCTGATCTACTGTCTCACCAGTCCACCCTTAAATTCTACTTCCCCTCATGTGATGTGTTTCTAGCCTTGTTTACTTCTCTGCATAAAAGAAAAAAACCAGTTTTGCCTCTAGCCTTTAAGATGCTTACAGACCTTATAGTCAGAGAGGTTTCTCTCTTGCATAGTCCTTTTGAATAAAAGTCTCTTTTTATTAAATCCACATTTTTTTATACCATGCAGAGGAGACTTTTAGACCAGTGGAGTTGGAGTCCCATTTAAGTTTACTTTTATATAAAATCAACCTTCCTTTCCTGTGAAACATCCTGAAGACTAGAGAATCACAGCCTCCAGTGCAGCATCCTGTTATTGCGCATCTATAAGAAGCCAGATGCTACTTATCCAATGTCATGTTGATGAAAATGGGTGCAGGTGTATATCTGCCCCATCCCTTGAGATGTCAGTCTCATAACTGTCACATTACAGGGCCAATAACCCCACTGATGACTCAGTTACTGTGGCAAACACCTCTGATCAGCTTGAAGGTACAACACATTCCAATAGGTTTGCTACACACAGGAGCTGCAAATTAGCCAGTCCTTTTCCTTGGCTGTAGACAGCCTTGTGGTCTCTGAATGGGCCAGCAAGGGCCAGCAAGGGGCTAGTATCAGCCACGTGGTCCAACTAGAAAAGATAAGACACATGGAAAATGGGAGAATTAGAGGAGAATTTTCTAAAAAGATGGCTAACAGTGGTGGGGCAGGAATAGGGAAGCCAGGAGGAAGAGGGCTGGCTGCCAAGGCTGGCACTACCCTGAGGCCCAAATGGGAGGGAATGGTCGATCCCTGATCCTGAGATGACCTATGAGGGCTCCATGATGCAGCCTTTCCTGGCCAGTAAGGTCAAAAAGAGTTGACATCGTCAACCAACAAACTAGATGAGCAATCGTTAAAGTAGATACTCTGGGATGGGTAAGAGGAAGCCAAAATGCCAGTTAGGACACACACAAAACAGGAGCTACCTAGGAGGGTGGTTGTGGATAGCTCCTTTCCTGAGGCCAGAGATGGATACAGTTTTCACACATAAAGAAAACCAAAATATCCCTCTTTAAAATACTGAGGATTGCCGAGTCAAAGAAGGTTAGAATGCAGGGAACACTCTGCCTCTCCCTCTGCTTGCCTGGTGGCAGAAGAGCAATTGACAAAAACACAATATCTTCCTGGTCTCCTCTCTGCCCTACCCACCTAAAGACACGCTCCTTTACAACACTTGCTTATTAGCTCTGAGACAGCAGAGTTGGAGGATCTAGGAGCAGACTTTACTCTTCCCATAAATGTACCTTCCCACATGCTCATGCCTGTTGGAACATGAATCTGCTCTCTTCTCTGTCTTGTCACTATATAGGATTTTATGGCTCTTTGTGAAAATACTATTTATGCAAGGCCCCAAAGCCACAGCCTTGAAAGAGAAATACTTTCCAACGGAGGCCTCTCCTGTGTGAAGGGTACAGCACACATCGATAAACTTCTGCTGGTTTTTCTCTGGTTAATCTGACTTTTATTTTCAGGAGACTGTCTCAACTGAAAACCTATGAGGAAAAGAAAAGAAAGTATATTTTCTCCTTTACACATACACAAAAGGTACATTAAGAAGGTGGGATGTCCATTAGAAACTGCTTCAGAGAGTAACATTTCCAAAAACAGCCACCCTGTAGATACTTTAAAAGTAAGAATGAAATTTAAGGCTGATTACAATTAAATCATGCACTAAATTACGGACTTATTGGCAAAAAAACAGCTTTTTTAGCATAATTCCTCATCAATTACTCCAAAAGAAAATAAGTATGGTGTATATGTATATAAATAAGTATTCTGGTTATACCAGGGGGATTATCTGCAGGATCAGTGGATGAATTATCTATTTAAAACAAATAACCTCTAGAGCAAGAAGGCGTGAAGTCAAATGTAGGTATTATATAAAATCCCCTTTAAAAATAGCAAACTCTTAGCGAAACTAGTCTCCTGAGACAGAATTCTTCCCTAAGTAATTATTAATAACCACATTCCCTTCTCAATACACACTTTCCATTAAGTCATATTAACATTTGCATATACCTTTGCATTGGCCTATATTTCATTTCTTTACTTATACACTGCTGGATGTTTCTGACTGGTCCCAATGGACAGGGTGCAAGGAGAAGGAGTACATTGACAAGTGTCTGCTTGAAGGATCAGTTCAAAGAAGGGGAAGGGAAGCAGAGGAGAAGAAGGAAGTGTAGATGTTTAGAGTCAGCCCCCGTTTGACTTTCAGATGAAGCTCTGAGCTCTACTACGGAGAGATGCCCCGTACCCATTCTGAGCAGGACAGGACTGGCTCCATTCCTGAGATTACAAAAGTAAAGAAAGGGAGGCAAGGCCTTCTAGGGCCCCAAGAACAGGTCAACCTCCTTAAAGCCCACGAGTAGAGACTTGGATGCCTGTTGGAAATCTCAGCAAAATCATGAGTGTCCCAGGAAACCAGAGCATCCTACAGATATCTCCACATTAATAAGAAATAGTGGTTGAAAAAAAGAAAGAGGAAGTTTCCAGGCAGAGCAACTTTCTACAAAGGAGCAAGGTTCAATCAATCCAGCAAAAGGTGTATGGGTGTGGTAGGCAGAATTCTAAGATGACCTGAAGACAGACTCCAACTGGTTTCAAAGAAGCAGCCAATGACAATGATGTAAATGGCCCATGAGGACCAGGAACAACAGATATATTATCCCAAGGCTGGCCTCTGGAAGCTGAGAGTAGCCCAGGACTTTTAGCAGCAAGAAAACAGGAACGTCAATCCACAACCACTAGGAACCGAATTCTGCTAACACCCACTGAACTTGGAAGAGAACCCCAGGCCTCAAATAAGAACACAGTCTGCCTGGCACCTTGATTTCTTCCTGGGGATCCCCTGAACAGAGTAACCTGTCTATCCCTCACTTGGAATTCTGAGTCACAGAGTTAGAGCTATGTGGGTGTTTTAACCATTGTGCGTATTGAAACAATAGAAAATGAACACAGTGGATATAAATATTAAAGCAAATGCTTTTCATTGGGAAGATGTTGGTCAAAGGATACACAATTTCAGTTAGGAGGGATAGTTCACGACATCTATTGCACAACATGAAGACTATAGTTAATAAGACTGTATTGTATATTTGAAAAATCACTAAGAGAGTAGATTAAAGAATCACAAGAGAGTAGTCTCCCTGTAAAAAATAAGTCTGTGAGGCAATATATATGTTAATTAGCTTGATTTAGCCATTCCACAATGTGTATATATAAAAATATCATGTTGTATACTATAAATATATCCAATTTTTGTCAATTTTAAAACTTAATTTTTTAAAAGGCAAGAGCTTTTCTATCAAAATGTAAAGATTTGGGCTAGGGATATTTGGTTGATAAACTCATTTACATACCCTATCTAAAAATTGTTATTGAAATATAAAATTTTAAATGAATATTATTTATATATGATATGTAATCTATTTAATATATTAAATAAGTATTTATTATATTTATGATAAACATGATTATATATTTATATGATTAT